AAAATATATTCTTAAAAGAGAACCAAATTGGCAGTGGCAAGATCCACTATAAATGGGAACTTTATTAAAAATCAAGATTGCCAAAAAAGAAGGCCTTTACCCTGCTAACAGTGTCACCACGCAAAATAAATCAAAGCAACAAAACAGGCTGCTAGGCTTATTGCCCAATCAATCAGAAAGGGCTAAGTATTGAGGGGGGAAATGAACAGATGCACGAAGGAATGAGATCTGAACATTTACTATGTGTCAAGTACAAACCAGGTGTTAAGGGTATTACTTTAAATGTTCTAACAGGGAAAGTTTCTTTATATACTAATATAAATATTTTTATATTCTATTACCCTAACAAATAATGGGGTAATAGTATATAAAACTCAAAGTCTTTGGAGAATAAGTTATCAATTCTAAGGCCTCAAATCAGAATTATCCAAGAAGTCAAAAGTCATTAAATCCAACAATTCAACATGAAAGATGGTCCCAAGGAAAGAGAAAGCAGCAAAACTTAGGTGAAAAGAACACATATGGGAAATGGATAAAGGGTAAATTATGATGACAAAGAGAACAAGAACAGTACAATCTGAGAGACTGATGTCACACTATACAGCAATACAGAAAACACTGAGGATAAACCGTCAAGTGAAAATGAAAAAAGCAGTATGACAAAAAAGGAAAAAAAGTCCATGCCCAAAATAAGATTTAAAAGTAAATACACAAAATGCTGGCAATGAATGAGAGTACAACTGCGACCACTTTCCTTCCTATTCTTTCTAAATTTTCTTTGGTGAGTATGAATTGCTTATAAAATACCTAATGAAGAAAAGGTTGTAGTCCAAAGTGAACAGGTTCATCAAAAGTGCTGGTGACTGGGCTGGGATTATGGCTCAGTGGTAAAGCACTTGCCTCGAATGTATGAAACACTGGGTTTGATTCTCAGCACCACATATAAATAAATGAATAAAATAAAAGTCCATCAACATCTAAAAAAATATTTTTAAAAAAGTGCTGATGACTTTCTTTTTTTTTAAGTGTTTAGAGAAATACTGCTCTGGGAAGATGATGCAAGAAAAAAGGCAGAACTGTTGACTTATTCTACTATTCTACTAATCAATAGAACAGCTATCATTAAATAAGCGTCAAAACCTAAGACAGAAAACAATAGCATAAGAATTAATTTTAATAGATTTAAACCACCCAATCCAGAATTTTATCCCAATGTACTGACTTAAACATGGAGTTGTGGGGCTAGGATTGTGGCTCAGCGGTAGAGCGCTCGTCTAGCACGGGTGGGACCTGAGTTTGATCCTCAGCACCACATAAAAATAAAGGCAATGTGTTGTGTCCATCTACACCTAGAAAAATATACATTAAAACAAACAAACAAAAAAAAACATGGAGTTGTGATTTAGGACAGAAGTACCTGAAATCCTTTAGAAGGACTAATCCTGTACCAATTCCTCCTAAGAGGAAAGAAAAATTCCCAAAACTACAGATTGGAAAGCTTATCAGTCTCTGAAATTTAAAAGAAAGTCACTTATTAGATAAATCTATGATTCTTTAAGAAACTAAGTCTTTCTCAAAGGAAATGACATGAAAGAAGAAAGTCACACTAACCTCATTTCTTTTTTTTAACAGGTTTACTAGGTCAAGAAATTCAAAGAATATAAAAGACCGTGTTTCATCTTGAGTTCATTAAGACATATAATCCAGTTCTTCCTGACAATAAAATGAAATGTGGGCCTGACGATAACAAAGAAAGACTTATAATTAGCCCATTTATGATTCATGGCATGATACAGGAATATACTATTCAACATTCTCTGATAACTTGATGAGAAACAGAAGCCAAACACATTACGGTGAAGAGGACACACAAGAGTAGCTAAAAAGGTGAAATTAGAGTTAAAATGAAAATAGCCTAAAAGTGGAAGCTTGAAATCAACAAGATGTAATTTAACAGGAATAAATTAAAAAATAATTTTTAAAGTGTCTCATGCACAATATGAGAAAGATTATTTTGCTTGGAAAATTTCTAAGTGAAGACCTGAGTACTTGGATCACAAGTACAATACTATGAATTAGCTGGACAGAGATGAAAGGTAGCAATAATTCTGCCACCTTCCATGTACCCAACCACACCTGCAATCTGTATCTTATCTATCCGACAAGATGTTAAGGAAGACATTTTTTTTTTTTTAAAGAGAGAGTAAGAGAGGAGAGAGAGAGAGAGAGAAAGAATTTTTAATATTTATTTTTTTTAGTTCTCGGCGGACACAACATCTTTGTTGGTATGTGGTGCTGAGGATCGAACCCGGGCCGCACGCATGCCAGACGAGCACGCTACCGCTTGAGCCACATCCCCAGCCCCAAGGAAGACATTTAGAAGCTGAAAAAAGTAGGAAAGGAAGACCAGAAAGCCATGCCACATAAAGGAAGTCCAGGGAAGAGGCAGTAAGCTTTCCATCACCTGAAGGGTTATTATGTGAAGGAAGAAAGGACTTAACAGTGTTGTTCTAAGAGTCACACAGCAACCCTCAAGACAAAATTTCCTAGAAAGTAATACTCAACATGAGGAAGTGTTCAAAGAGAGAGCTGTCTGCCTCATTACTTGATATTCAGGCAGAGGCCAAAGTACCAGTAGGAACTTTGCCAAAAAGCCTGCAGTGGCCAGCAAGAGGTTGGTCTAGATGACCTCTAAGGTCCTTCCAATCCTCCAACCATGAGAACTTTGATCTTGGAGATAGGGAGACCAAAGCTGTTCAACACCTAGCCATTCAAAAGTAGCAAGTCACTTTTTTTTTTTTGCAGGGGGCGGAAAGGGGGGGAGTACTGAGGATTGAACCCAGGGGCACTTAACCACTAAACCATATCCCCATATCCTCAGCCCCTTTTAGTTTCTATTTAGAGACAGGGTCTTGCTAAGTTGCTTAGGACCTCACTAAGTTACTAAGGCCAGCCTCAAACTTGTGATCCTCCTGCTTCAGCTTCCTAAGTCACTGGGATTATAGACATGTGTCACCACATCCCGCTAACAAGTTATTTTTGAGGCAGAATAGTCCCAATTGCATCCCTGAAGCTGGCAGAGTGATTAGGACTACATGCTTCTATTAAATCAGCTTTCAGTCCCAGCCTTGCTACTTACCTAGCTGTGGGACTTTGGGCAAGCTTCTCAACCTCATAGCACCTTAGTTTTCTCATAAGTAAAATGGAAATGATAAATACCTTCCCCTCAGAGGACTCCTAAAAGTAAGTTATCCACATATTAGAGTAAATGGAACACAGTAAGCATTTAACAAACAGTATCTTTTATTATTTTTGCTAACACTAATAAAGAAATAATTTTGATGCCTAATATGGCTACAGAGGAGTTAGGATACTTAATCCAACTTCCCCACTCTCCCAAGAGGCTGGGTTACTTAAATGACTGCTTAGAAGAGAGAGAATGCCAGATAATGATGATAACTAACATTTACTGAATACCTACTATTTGCCAGGT